ATGGGTAGCGTCGTGGAGTATCGGGAGTCCGTCCGTAAGCTGGTGCTTGCGAGGCAATGGAAGCTCGAGGAGGAGTGGAAGTTATAGGGGTTGTGTGGGGACAGCGTGCTTCTATTAGGGTTTTGTTCGGCAGAATCCGCGCGTGTTAACAAAGCTAAGAATACACCGAAAAAAGAACCGTTGCAGTGTACCAGATCCATGATACTGCAACAAGGAAACTTATTACAGTATCGGATCTGGTATACTCCAACGGTTCTTTTTTTGGTGTACCAATCCTTTCATGTAATTTCATAAATTACAGTTTTGTTTGCTGGAAATACTTTTAAAAATCTCTATTTTCGCCGGATCACAATTGTATCGTCAATTACAAAAGTATACGTTAAAACAAGGTTTAAAAGCCCGATACGTGCTAATAGGTGGGACACAACATTCAATAGTTTTCCTAGTTCTAGAAATATTTGGAAGAGGTAAAATGTATGTGAAAGTTTGGACATACGTGCCGCCCCCTCCTGATTCGCAAGCCCCCGGCTGCCACTGCCCGTAGCGCCTGCTTGTGAGTCTTATTCTGAGCAAGTATACGTAGGGTAGGTGACCTCTGCTTTCCCTAGGGGCGAAGTGCGCCAATTTTGACGTTTGATTTGAATACGCGAATTGACGTTTGATTTGAATAGGCGAAAAGGGCCAGTATTTTTCCGTACAGTTTTTCAGAAACTTGGTTGGAAAGGCACACAGGAGGTAACAAAGAAGTTTGAGTCAGATGCAAATTTATCAGTAAATTTTTGCTGATACTGCTTTTGAGAAGAACGTTCCTCGCAGCCCCATTTTAAGATCAGTATTCATTACTTCTTTTCATCAGATGTTAATGTATGAATTACTTGTTGAACTTGGAATATTATTTTTATAGTATGATCCAGAATTGCTTGCAATTTTACCTCAGCGTGTGTTTCAATAAAAATTAAGTCGCTAGGGACCGAATAACATATTTTCTTTAACTCCAATTCAGTTCTATATTCGGAAATTAATGGATGGTTGGAAAAGTTAATTCTTTGTACTTTCTAATGGGGCTAAAAAACGGTTTTAAAACTGGAAACGAAAGAGGATGGTTTCAAGTAGTAAATTAGATTATGAACATCGCGATATTCCACGAAAGTGGTAGCTTTCAGTCTATGTGAACTTCTAATAATTCATTTTATGCGTTTTAATATTTGATCATCCGTCGGAATCAGGTATTGTTATAAAACATATATGAAAATACTGTACAAACAGCCTAGAAGTGAATCCATACTCACAGCGTTCTCTGCATAACTTCATATGAACATTACTTTCAAGGACTGCCTCTCTGTGACACTCGGTCACTGCAGGACTTCTGGACCCCGCGAAGGGTTAGTCGGAGTGACGGACCCCAAGTATACGTGTGTCGTAATATGTGCAAAAGTTCTGTAAGCGAGATTACATTTTTGAGATTTTGACCAGGATTTGGGGAAAATCAGCAGCGCGTACGCCGTTCTTAGCAATCTCTGCTTGGCCGCAATGCCGACGCGGTGACCCCAGGGCTTTCACGATTAAGGCGCCGTTCGACCTGCAAATTCCTCACCTTTTTCACTTGAACAGCGACACAAGCATTTCACTTTTTTATTTTTATGAATCTGTAATATTTGTCAAAAGTGACTTACTTAACGGTGGGAACATATTTTAATGCAATACTGATATTTATAATTACAACACACGTAAAAATCACGTTCATCAAGTGTCAGTATCAACAGCTCACTATCAGAAATCCACATACAATACATGTACTTACTTTGCAACGCACTGCCAGATGACACTAAACAATTGAAGTCGGTTCACAAATTTAAGTTAAAAGTAAAATCTTTTTTGCTGCATAACTGTTCTATACAATTGGAGACTATACTTATTATCAAAAAAAAGAATAATGTTTATTTTAACAAAAGTGATATATTATGAATTAGTTTACATTTGTATTGTATATTTTTTAAAAAGACTTAATATGTTTTATAACAAATAATGTACTTTAGCATCCGGGTCAATGACTCCCATCTCGATCAGGTTTTTGTCCATTTTCCCTGACCCATTGAGCAAATGCTCAAATGGCACCTCGTTTTGCTTCTGAACGTAAATGTAGCTTTACTATTCGCACGTTTTGTTGAACTCTCCTTTTGCTTGTAATGGTAAGAGTAGAGGTAAGGGCGAGTTGCTATTTTGTGAGCAATGTAGAAAAATCATACTTGCAATTCGTGTACCGATGCAAATAAATATTCTATAACTCAGAAACGAAAATATTATTCAAATATTGCTAATCTTGCTATTTTTAAAATTTATTTTTATGTTTCGCGTTTACTCATCTTTCAACCATTTATAGTTAAAATGACGGGAAGGGATTCTGGAACTCAAGAAAACGTGCGCAGATAATCTTTACCTACGTCACATACAGTTTACAGTTTTTTAGTGAATAAATCAAAATCTAGTGCAAGTTGCATTGTAAGTATGCGCAATGAAAACCCGCGGCTTGTAAGAGACTTGTGTATACCAAGTCGGTTTCGTTTTTCGAAAAATTGGAAAAGGAATTTTCACTGAAAGTAGCCTTACCCATTAGCCCCTTCTAGAAAGTAGAGAAATTAGGCATTCTGAATATAAAATTACCCAGTTTGAAACATTAAAGTAAGTTAATATTTTTGTTGATGAATCGTTAATTCTAAAATCCTTTTTGGAGGTAGTTACACGTTTCTGGAAGATGTTTACATCATTCGGGACCGCATTAATATCGCGTGTTTTAAGCAGTTGGATCTTCCCGATGCCCCTGGTACAGTCACCAGGTGACACACCATGACTAGTTGCCGAGCAGGGACAAGAGGTGCGGGCGGCGAGTGGCCTGGCCCGCTTGCGCCTTCTGGGAAGCCCTGGGGTCGATACGGCGGCGAGCGCCCCGAGCCACGCAGCCACTTGGTTTCGATCGCCCGCGCCCGCGGCGAGGGGCGCGTGGTGGCGTGCGTGGGGGCCGGGAAATCCGATCGCCCTCGCCCCTGTGCTTTGGCCGGACAGCACTGCAGGCAGGCTGAGAGTTTCTGCCAGGAGGCTCTCCTCAAATGAAAATTACAATGAGGATGACGGTGATGAAGTCCATACTTGATTGTCGCTCGTAGGGGAAGAGGATTCCCTTTTCCAAAGCAGATAGTCAGAACGACTGTTTGCCATGACCTTCCGTAGCATGTAGACATGGGGAATGGTATGGAGATGGCGAAAGGAGGACGATGAGAGCCTCTCCTCATGTTTAGACATCGCTCCAAGCCCCTGACCCGCCATGGAGCAGCTGTGTCCAGGCAGGCTTTGTTTCGCATCCGCGTCCTCCGTCGCCTCCACTGCCCCCCCCCCCCGGTTGGCCCGCTGCTTCTCAGCCCCTCTGGCGAGGATGGGAGGGGTGGCGATCGGGCGCGATCGGCTCGCCGTGAACTGCAGCAGACCGCCACTGGCAGATTGGCCCGAATTCTTGCGTTTGAGCAGCTCTGTTCTAAGAGGGGCTGGCCGGTGAAGGATGTCGTGGCTTCCGCGGGCAGGTTCTCGGAGTGTACACATTGATCCGGCGATTTCTATTGGTGCGCATGAAAGAGCGGAGAACGGGCGACGGGAGAGAGAATTCTCGACGTGGAGCGTCACATATTCCCTACCCCTCCTACAGACATGGCAACATTCAAACCAAAACCGTCGTATTTTTAAATAATATTTCGCGAAATTTCATATATTCCTTAATGAACCGCTGACGGAGGTGTATAGTCACCCCCACAGCGGTTTCATTGCTAAGAACCGCGTGCTCGACTTCGACCTGCACCCCGAACCTCCCACTCCCAGCCGTGACGCAGCAGCTCGCGCTCTAGAGCCCCCCCCCTCCCTTCCCCGCCCTGCTTGCGTCATCCCTCGCAGCTTCCGCGGAGGCGGGTCACCCTCCCCCACTCCCACTCCCGCCCCAGCCGCGCGTAACAGGGCGGGCAAAAGGGGTATCTAATTCTCTGTCTACTACAGTTTTCTACACCTGCCACTTCTTCGTTATCTCAGTCGCGCCCGCGCTTGAATTCATTTCTAGATGATTTCACACCTCATGGACAGCAGACTGCGGATCGTCCAACGGCATGCAGCTTCTGCAGAAAATAATCCACGAACTATAAATAATGTTAAAAAACATCTACCATCAAAATTACATTCTACCTTGAGATACGATTCATTTTCGTAGTAGGTCGTTGGTTACTCATTCATTTATTTTCAATGATTCTTTGGATGGTTCATTATTTGCTAGTCGCGGTACTCGAAGGTTCTATTGAAAACAGATTGATCAATTTATTTCGAATGGTTAGGCAAGCTTCAGTGGACCAAATAACGTACTTGTTGTGCAGACTTTCCGAACGCATCCGGCAATCCAAGCAACTAGTTATCGTACAGGCCTGCGCACAGCGGAGCTCTGACGCACCGGTTGCCGCCCCGGCCACGCCCCCTCCTCCTCGCGCCGACCGCCCCCACCCCCGCCCCCGCGGCGAGGGCTCCCCTGCGGCGCCGCGTGAGCGCGGGGTATTTCCACCCCTCCCTTCCCCGCTACGCCCCGCTCGCGGAGGTCGGTGGCGCCGGGCCGCGTCGCGTCGCGTCGCGTTGGAGTTTGCGTGGACTCGAGTGGGCGGGCGCCTTCTCGAGCAGAAACGGGGCGACGGTTTCTCTTAAACGCTCCGCGCGCCTTTTCTCGCGCCGCGCCGGCCGGCGCGACGCATGAGTAGGAGCGCTGCGCAGCGTGTGGCAGTCAGTGCGATGGCGGTGTTGCGGAGCGGGTGCATGAAGTAATCGTTGTTGTTTAGCGAAGGATTGCGTTGACGTGAGAGAATGCAGGTTATTGTGAAGTGTTCGCCTTTTGAGGCGTTGGATGAGAGTGTGTATATGGAAGTGTGTTCTGCTGGCTGGGCCGAAGGAAGTAAGGAGTTTGTTTTCGTGTTTCAGAATGAGAGCAAGGGCGTCCCCAAGCGGAACATCCCGTACACGAGAGGGCAAGCCACGTTGTTCGGCTTCAAGCGGCGTCCGGCCACTGCGCCCAGCGCCACGTCCACCCCGCTGCTAGACAATGCGCCGTCGCCCGCCGCCAACGCCCCTTTCCTCAACAGCAACAGGAGCAACCTGTGCCCGCCCCAGGAGGAGGAGCAGCTGAGCAATGTCAGCCCCATCTCGTCCAACAAGTCCACCCCCCGGCTGGCTCGCCCCAAGAAAGATCTCGATGGCACAAACAACGTCAGAACCAACAGATTCGGTTTCCGTTCGGCCGCGCCGCTTGCCGTTACGAACAAGGTGGCCGATTCCAATTGTAACGTGTTGCCGCCGTCTCATTTGAGTCATCCCAATATAGACAGACCGAACGTAACCAGCACAGACAAGCCGAGAGCCAAAGGAGGCGGGAAAATTCCGCAGCCGAGAGGTGTGGAATCGGCGATTCCTGTGCCTGGAGCAGTAAGTGAACCCCCGAGAAATAAAAACAAGCCGCCCGCGGCGAAACCGGAAGTAGCCAGTGAGCCTGTGCAGGCCCAAGCCACGAGATTTACCCTCCAAACGACCCATTTGCCAAAGCTTCAGTATCCGGTGCGATTGTCTTCTGTCGACGTGGATGTTCGAAACACAAGCAAGATAGCCAAGACCGCAGCCAATAACAGCACAAGAAGGGGGGTGCATGTTGCAGCTGACGAGTCCTCTTCTAAAGAAGGGTCTGTAAATGAAGATTCCGGTATTGGAAGTCACCAAAGCACACTAATAAATAATGGAGAAACTGACACACTACATGGAGTTGAAATTCTGGAGAGTAGCCCCACTTTTGGATACAGGAGGAACAGAAACTTGCAAAAACCGAGGACTCTGGAAATGGTCGTCAGTGGGCAGTGTTTTGATGTTCAAGATCTCAAGGACGAAGATTGTTCTGATCCAAATGTAATAACAGAGATTTCCGTTATTTCTTTGCCAAAGCCTAATGCTGCACGGATTGCCCGACCTGTTCAGCGACCAGGTGTAGCTCAAGGAATTGTGCGGGAGAGGTCTAGACTTTATCGTCAACAAGTTGCGCAAAGCAACCAGAACAATGATAACTCTTTGGATACATCTGTGTCCACACATTCCGATACTTTAAACAGTTCAGAGGGATCAAATTGTTCTGAAGTTCTTAAAGAGGAAGGAGAGGAAAAAGCATTTCGAGACAGCTCTGGCAATGAAAAGTCAGCACTCGAAAAAGCTGTTACCCCGGGGAGTATGGAAGAAGAAGACTGGGGCCATGGAGAAGCTATGGCAGAAGAATTTAGTAGTTCGAGTGATGATGCCTTTAACCAATGCAATTTTTCAACTTCGTCTTCTAGTCTTAAGCAAAGCATTCCATTTGCAGCTTCCAGTGCAGAATTGAAAACAAATCCAGTTATACTTAAAATAGAAGATTCTAGATTTGCAGCTTTTGCAGCTACAGCTTCCACAAACATGATAGAGGATGAGAAATCTCCTGTTGATAGCTTAATTAGCAGTGCCAGCGCACCGAGTAGTTCAGCTGATGATATTTCGGAAGAGGAGCAGCAGAAGAGCCTCTTGCCTGATGATGGTCAAAAAGAGCAGGGCCCGGATTGCGATCTGAATTCTCTACACAAGTCAAGCAACACTCTGAGTCCTGAAAGTCCAGGCACACCCACCAATGCTTCAAATTCCCTTTCTCTCTCTGAAGGGAGAGATTTTCTTATAGATGATGAAATAGCTGATCAACCAGGCCTGACTTTTGATGATGGTACAGCCACTGTTGGTCCAGATATGGCTACATCATCAGCTGGTTGTAGCAGTCTAATTCTGTCAGTTACAGAAAATGTTACTCTGGTGGATACTCCTCCAAATGCTGGTAAGAGTTTTCATTTTTATATGCAATTCTTTCACACCTCCATTATTGAAATTGAAAGTTTCAAAATGAGATACTTGCTTTGGAATGTTGTAATTATTCAGTATAGCTGCTATAGCATTTGGTTCTTGAACGTAGACAGATTAACATAAGGGAGCGAGAGCAATATATTCAGTTGCAAAAAGAGAGTTGGAAGAGGAGACTGCCTCAAGCAAGTTCAGTGTTATTTGAATCACTGAGTGTCATTCAAATTAAAGTGTTCTACTAAATTGAATTTTTCACTGATATTGAGGAGAAAACAAAGAGGAGAGCAACACTGCACAATCATTCAGTGTGATTCTTCAATGACAATATTCTAGCAGAAGATACCAAAAATACCAAATATTGATGATACCAAAAATTGACACTACAGTTATGCCCTTACAACAGTCACTCATAGCACTGTTACATGGTTGGTACAAAAACAGATTCAATAATCAGAAGAATGATAAAAAATTAATAAAAAGGCCAGTAAATGACTACATACATACAATGTTAGTAGAATTCATATTCCTGTATAGTATATGTTACTGTACATGCATACATACGTTACATAATACACACAATACATACTGTTCTATAAAATATTGAAGTACAACAACATTGTGCAAGGATTAGCATCAAGTAGAATTTGAATATATGAGGGGAATTGGGGAAAGCATAGAATATCCTGGTGTCAGACATGAGGAGTCCCCCTGTACTTGACTGTTGCCCAGAAAATTTCACTTGAATTTTGAAGCCACTAGGTATTGTAAGGAGAAGTTTCATATTTGTAAAAGTGGTAGAAACCTTTTTGAAAATATTTTTTAGTAATTGAGGACAGTGGCCAGCCCCTTGAGTGCTCTCGTGTATTGTTCTTGGAAATACAGATAGTTTTTTGTAAGGTGGTTGGCAAAGAGATTAAGCTGTTAATAAGCAATAACTCATTCATTCAAAAAACTGTTACGCAAAATGCATGAATGACTTAAAACAGCAAATGCAAGCAATTTCATTCCCATAAGTGATAAAATTGATTTATCTTTAGTCTCTTGCATTAAACAATAAACATTGGAAATTAAATTCTTTCTCGAATGTCTTGATTCATGTATTTTTTTAAATAGATTATTCATTCAACATTTTCTTAATTTTAAGAAATTAATGATTAATAAATTCTGGTTATATCTAATTATTTATTCTACTAATAATTTTAAATCTTGTAGTCATTAATAATATTTTGTTTCATAATCCAGTAGTCCAAAGGTCCTCAGCTCCTGTGGATGGATCTCCAAGTCCTGCAAAAGGTCGTCGCATTAGTCGCACTGGTTCTGTTGACACACTCTCTCCATGTGAGAGTATAGCTTCTGATGACCTAATGTTGGACTTCGAACGCAGTGAGAGAAGTGAATTGGATTGCACAGCAGAAAGGTAAAGCTTTCATGGTTAGATAATGAGATCAGTATGATTGAAGTGTTATATATGGGTATTAACAGTCACATACCAAAGTGGGGGATGATCAATAATGGACCATGTTTTTTTCCTAAGATGTTACTGTTTCACCATTTAGGACTTTTATTATTAGAAGTTTTCTGAACCCTTAGAGCGTGTTTCATCTTTCAAGACTGATCTGATGTTTCAAAAAAATGGAAACCATTTCCTTGTATAATTCCTTTGTGGAAACACCAGCTATCTCTTACAGTGTGCTATAAACATGCCTGTCCATAAACACGTTGCAAATCTTATTTTAGTATCTGCTGATGTAGATTGAAATTGCGCTTCTGCAGGAATATTGTAAATGTCGAACTAATTCTTCAAAGAATAGACATTGCCATCTGTGTCCCTATGGAAAGGATTGTAGTACAGAAAATGTTCGAAATGTTTGTCTCTGCTATATCACAAAAAATTAAAATATTTTAACACAAATTGGCAGAAAATGATGCTAAATATGCTAAATATGTTTCATTAGTTCTTAACTACATAAAATTTTCCTTCAATTATATTGCAATTTATTCTGGGATCTTTAGATAATTGTAGTTTTATTGAGGAATCTTAAATGTCTTAGTGTTGTCAAAAGTTTTGAGCCCAAAAATCACCTGATCTCTCTTATGTTAGTCTCCAGTCTTGCTAGAAGTAGGGAAATAAATTCAGGTGAAATAAAAATAGTTTTCATTAAGAAAAAATGTATATTAAATTGTCTTGCATAATTAATATATTGAATTTTTTTATAATACTTAACTCAGGAATTTTTCAAACAAAATGTTTGTGAACAAAAAATTGTTAATTTTCCTTTGTTTAAAAATTCTTGATAAATGTCAATACAGAGTCTGTTTCACTGAAGTTCATGTATTTGGAAAAAAGCAGTGTTACTTACGAGCATTTGTGTGTTCTCGGCAATATATCCTTGTAGTTGAGCTATAAATATTCACTGCACGATAAAAAAAAAGTTTTATTACAAACTACCGCTAATGCTGTGATAAGATTTGTGCCATGCTAATTTCTGAGTAAAGGTGACAGCTTTTGGCAATGTTCAAATAGAGGTTTCAGAATGAATTATGTATGTTTTCATGCTGTATATTTGAGCACGAGGGGTGAGCGACAATAGTCATGGTGTTCAGTTGGCATATTCGGTATCATGAGGAGTCAATCATATGGTGTGAAAGGGAATCAAACCTGTGGCAGTACAGCTTAGAAGAAAACTGTGATACAAACTACATGAATATCTTATATTAGCAGAAACTAACATATTGGTAAATTTTAGTCCTGCATTAAACATCTTGCTCTTGGTTTTTTGATCAGTTTCCCTTCATTTTGGACCTGAAGAACATAACCGCAGATTATACTTCTCCCCATAGTCACGTTCAGTTTTACTGTTTTTTTTAACATAAATCGAGTAAAGTAAACGAAAGCCTTGAAAAGCAAACTTCTTTGCTTTGTAATCTTGGATGATGCTCCTGGAACCTCTGCCAACAGGATCACATGTGCAGACATCAGCAGGTTTTAAACCGCATCTTATTTGCTGAGATTGATTGAATAGTTCATCCAGAAAAGGGATGTTTTTTATCACATTTTAGTAATAATGTATATGATGATATTAGCTTTAAAATAATTACTTTTTCATTACAATTTCAAGTTTATCATCAGTAGACAATGTGACGAGTGATCTTATGATTTAACAAATGATCTGTTTTAACCATTTCCTTTGGGTTAATAGAACTTGAAAAGATGTCTGCCTCTGCTGCATTTTTTGAAAATAAGTAACTCACAGTTCATGTGCACTGGATCTTTTAACAGATTCATTTATGCGAATAAGGTATGCATATGACATCAAATAATGTAATATTATAAGTATTTGGAATGTTTCATTTGTAATTGAGCAGCAGAAGGGAACATTATGGTGCGAGGCATCTAGGGGAAGTTTGTTTTTCATTTTTCCTTACCACTAAGTTGGCTCAGAGCTCAACGATGGGTGGAAATAAATTAATTGGCACTTAATTGTTTTGTTCCATGAAGCCTCTCAATAATTGATGGGTTGAAATGTTTTGATTTCTCTTTGGATGAATTGGATGATTTTTTTTAGATTTAAGTTTTTAAGTGGTCCTTTTACTTTGCAAATTCAAACTTAATCTCACAGCATAGGAGAGAGGTGTTCAGAAATTATGCCTTATTGAAAAAAGTTGCTGCAGAGCTTCCTTTTAGTCCTTTTGATCTTCATAAATAATGATGCTTAAAAAAGAGACTGATTTTGGAGAACACCTTAAAAAAAATGAAAGAAAGATTTCAAAGAAGTTCTTATGGTGATTTTATTTCACAATTTCTGTACATGAAATTTGAAATAAGTGAGATCTAAAATGGGAGGAAATGCAAGTAAATAAAAAAGAGGAAGAACAAAATTAGATGTCATGCATAATACAACAGGCAATTAAGAATTTTTTTTTCTTTTTTTTTTTGCCTATTTCTGTTTTGCTCAGTCAAGTTAGACCAAAAAATGTCATTCGAGTTAAATAAAGCCCAGAGTTTTGAACTTGGGCATGATTAATCATTGATACGTATCGAACATAATACTGGAAATTCTGAAGTGTGTTGGGGAGCTGTTTGAGGGTGGTTTCTCCAGATTTTTTTGCATGTATCTCCACAATTATCAGTCCCTCTGGAAATTAAACTCTATGTAAAACTTAAGTTGACTAAATTTTTATTACAAAAAAGTTTTAATAAGATTGTCTTGTGAAATTTACCCTTTTAAAGTTGTAGGTTTGAAAAGTTCTTGTTTTTATTTACAACATGGTCCTATTTTAGTCACCTCCCATATAAAAATATGTTATGTTACGTCAATGCATGGAAGTTCTTTGATTTTCGTTCCATATTTATCAACAATCTGTATTTGCATATATTATGCAAAAAACATAATCATTTTGCATCATATCAAATCTAATTTTGTACAGTCGGCTCGCAAGTATCTGAGGACATTTGGTCTGATACTATCTTGAGTTCATAAAACTTGATTAAGCCATAGTTAAGGATCTTTTGCTGGAGGATTATGTTCACTGGCAACATATATATTGAATAAAACAATCTAAGAGGAAGAATCAAATTTATGGCATTCGCAGAGGGACAATTAAAATCGTCGATGACAAGTGACACTCTAACACAAAGGAAACGATGGATGGGAACGAGTATTGTGTGGATGGTCAAACACCTCCCAGCAGATCATCTCATTTTGCCTGAGGTGCAAAGTAACCTAGCTGTCGTTGCTCAAATAGTGTATTCAAAAGTTATTGTTCAAGAAATGAATTCATACCTTTATTAAAAAAATTATTACCTGTGCTCTGTACTTCTTCATTCTTCTTTGTGAAAATGTTTATTTCTTCTTATTTCTCATTGATTGATGTTTTTAGTCACTTGGATGGCTCTGCTTTGGAACGACAGCACACATTGGAGTCAACCAAATCCCTTGACCAAGGTACAGATGATTCTGCGGAAGATCCTGTGAAAGAATGGTCGGTTACTGCTAGCTCATTGGTCAAAGAGGCTGGGTGAGTATATATTTTTTACAGCAATTTTCACCTGTAATCTCTCTTCTTGTAAAATTTTTAATTTGATTTTGTAATGTGATTTTTCAAGGAATGCAGTATAATTTTAACTTTTCCACTCAAAAGACCAATCACTAAGAAATTTCACAAAACTGAGAATCAGTAAATTTCATAATATCTTGGGTGTTAAGTTATGATGAATACTTCCTATTTTTGACTAGACTTGTTTGATAATCGAATCAGAGGTTGCATTCCCAAATGGAATGTATGACCACTAAAACTTTTTATAGCTTTTGTGAAAGGTTAAAAACAGCTTTTAAAAAATTGGTGATTCCAATGTGATGCAGAAATATTTATTCCCTTTCATGTTTGTGGTCTATATGGAAATGCTTTGTTTTGCTGGAAAGTGAATAGTAACACACATACAATTTTGTCCCATGGAAGTTCTTCTGAGCCATGTTTTAAAATAAAATAAATTCATATTTAGGAATTAGTCTCTTCCTTTTTAGTAAGACAGTTTATCATCATGAAATATGAAATCATTTATTAAAATTCACAATCATTAGCACCAATGTTTTGACAAGCGTTCCTTGTCATCTTTAGTGTTTATACAATATTACATCTTAAAATAAATACATAAAAGGTTTTTAAAATTATATAAAATTAAGTCACAAAAGCAAGATGAGTACTCTCTTCAAGTAGATTTTGGTCTACCTATTATTTCATGCGAAGTTGAATAATACTGTGGTGATGTTTGGTATTTTTGTATGAGGGTTTCCTTGTTCCATTTTGGAAGTTGTCTGCTCTGCTAATAATCAAGCTCATGTTAGTGTGAGCCCAGTCGGCACCAGGTTAACCAGGTTTCCATGGATAACCTATTGTAATAATTTTTTTTAATGCAAAGTATCTTGGATCAGTCAAAATCAAATGAATGTGACATTTGATTGTGTTGTATAATTGAATTTTATCTGTGTGCAAATTCTTTAATGTTTCTTTTGTGTTTGTTAATCCTTTCTCTTAGTTTCCTTTTTGTCTGTCCAACATATTTTAAAGGAGATGAAATTAAGTATACACTATTTTGCTTTTCTAATATACTGATGAGTTTTTTTTATGATGAATCAGGTTTTCTTTTTTGCTTGTAGAGTTTCTGAGACCAATGTTAAATTTATTACTTAAGTAAGATTTGAATTTGTTATTAATACAAGGTATATACGATAGGTAGAAATAAATCTCAGGATTCTTTTTTTCTTCTACATTTTCTGAAGATATTGATTTATCATGGTATCTCGTTTTGACAAATTGTATGTAATTTTTGATGCATAAACCTTTCTATAAATTTTATTTTATAATTTTTGTCAATTATTAGTAGAAAAACGTTTTCTAGATTGGTGTTGTAAAATTGTTTATTAGACAATTCTGTAGCTGTGATAATTTAATGAAAGGGAGTAATTCCTGAATATGAAAAACAAGAGACTGTATACACAAATAAACTTCAAATAAATTCACATAAGCATTTTTCAAAAAAGTATTTATAATAAATCATCTTGAATTTTAGTGTTGAATCTGCTCATGGAAGAGTTAATTATTTATGCAATATTGTAATTACATAATAAATTTATCTATTTTGTGTGATATTATTCCTAATTAACTAATGTACACATAATGCGATGACCTGCATCAAAATCTTCAAAATGAGAAGGTTCCACAATCTGTCGTACCATTTCATTAAAACTCTTTGTAAGAGCTCCGTAAGTTTGTTGATCGAGTTGAGTGCTTTGAAATACTTCAAAGTTTACTGTTTTAGCAGGTTTTAACAAATTTTAATATACTTCATCAGCAATGTGGTGGTTATTCTTTCTTTCTCAAATACATTTTGTTCTCCACTTGAAAAGTTAGTCTTTTGTGGAGTTGAACTTAGTAAATACCCTTGAAAACTTGTTCAAAAATCCTTTCTTTGCCCTCTTGTCATTCTTTATTTTAGTATAGAGCAATATTTATTTTTACAACAAAGCCTGAGGGAGATTTCCTTGTCACTGCATTTTTGCTGAACTTCCAATGTTTCTCATTCTATTGAAAGTAAACTTTGTTGCCCTGTTTGTTTTACTTAGCACCATAAATTGCCTGAATATTTAAACACGGAATAATTTTGTATGGGTCTTAACCACACCTCAAAGTTTCTCTTCTGTAATCATTTACTGAATTGAAAAGTATAAAACCTCCAAGGGCGAGTGTGACATATATGTCACAACAAACAAGTTATAATACAGCTTAATTCCTGTTACTGCAGGGTGATATTTCTGTAAGTGTAAGCGTATTCTTTTTGCAGAGGAATGTGGTTTGTCAGTTTATTGTGCGATCTTGCCCAAAAAAAGTGCTATAATATTTTTTCCCTCAGTTCAAAAATTGAGATTAATAAGAATCTCATTCCTAATCATTGGTAAGTTGAATTCATAGTGTGTATGGTTATGAATTAAATTTATCTAAATGGTATATCTATCGCAGATAGTTCTTAAAGTAATGAAAATTATTTAAATAATTTTATTATTATTACTACTGAACTGCTGAAGACATTAGTTTCTTTTTGCCATGGGTACAGTTTCATCCACATTAAGTGCCACATTTATGATTTCCACATTCTGAAGCGATTAATTGAAGGAATCTAAATCGCAAAAATTGAACTAGGAAACGTTGTCAAGAACATTATTAGATTTTGTTCAAATTATATTGCATAAGTAAAGATGGTATTCATTATTTGATCATCCCCTCCTGGAGATTTGAATGTGCCCTTTCGAGAAGATTGCCAATACACTCTCTTTGGAAATAAGAACCAAGTTGTATAAAGGGTTAATGATTTTTCACTTTGTCCTCTTTTTGAAAATAGATGGCACAATAATCCAGCTAATTGAGTGTGGATAAATTTTGGGAAGTTTAGTTTGATGGTTTTCTTTGGAAATTTTAGGAAATTTGAGGGATATATAGCGTGTATTATTGATCACTTCTTGTTATTTAATTTAATGTTCTTATCTTTTGGGTATTGGGAAAGGTAAATGACTATGGATATGGTACAAGAATATGCTCTGTGCAAATCCTGCGTTTTTTTGTAAGATATAATATGGGATGCCATATGATCTGTCAATAGTAATAGTATTGTCCTTCCTTTTCCATTTTTGAACATTTTCTCATTTCCTCTGTTGTCACCTGAAAAATCATCTTAAAAAATCAAATTTTGGACAGTATAAAGAATGTGATTGTTTGAACAAATGTTTGAAAGTTATTGAGTTTTAGTCTGGCTTCTAATAATAGTAATTTAGTTGAAAGTAAATCTCATTTTAAGTTTTTTTCTATATCCGAGGCTAAATTTACATGTATTCCTAAGTATCGTACCTATAACGATACCTCCAGTTCTTCTAAGGTTAATGTCGATAACTTCGCCCCCCCCTTTTTGAGGGGTCATTTTCGGCATTAGATTAACTGTGCTGATCCCAAATGTATCAAATTGGGGAATATTTGACAATATTGCATCTATTGACTCCAAATTCATTTCTCAAATCTAAAAACATGCTTAATAGATTTAAATCTGGTATTGAGAAAATCCTTTTATTTTGCTCAAGGAAGGTTCTGAATATCTGGTTTTTACTTTTAAGTTTGTCTTTGAAAAGGCAATTTGTACTGAAATCATTCCAGATCTGTGGATGAGTATCATGATCTGTCCAGTACTTAGGAAGGAAAATCAAGGCAAGATAAAAATTTATTGTCTTATTTCTCTGTTGTCTGAATTCTCCAAACTTTTAATGAATAATGTGTCATTGTCTATTCATCTTTTTTACCTCGTATATCTGATAATCAACTTGCTTTTATCAAGACTTGGTCTATCATTAATAATCTTCTCACAATTTCTTCCCATTTAGTTGAGTTTGATTAAATAAATGTTATTTAAAATTATTTTACTGATACCTTTGATATTGTTAACCAATATTACTATTTAAAAATTGCAATCTAGGTATTTCCTCTAATTCTTGAGTTAGATCATACCTCATTTTGACTTGCATGTTAATATTGTTGAACATGCAGGCCATAAGTCTTTTTTCTTTTCTGCTAGCTCTGGTGTACCCCAAGGTTCTAATTTGAGCACTTCTTTATTTGCTTTTGCTATGAATAATGATCAAGACGACTTCATTTATATATATACACACAAAAAACATATATACATGTATTTTTTTTTCCCTTTTAGAACTGATAATAATTGCATTAAATTGCAGACTAACCTTGATGATTTTTATAACCTTGCTTGATAGTTTATGTAATAAATTAATACCAGTACTTAATCTTAGCAAATGACTGGCTATGTTGTTTTTAAGACTGCATGTGTTCAATGTGATGATTCAATCTCTGATACTATATTTGAGAGGGTCGGTTTGAAATGAGATTGTAATGTAATTTTTAATCATGAACTTACATTGAAAGTGCTCATTGCTCACATTCAAGTGCTCACAAAGCGGCGGTGATGGTGTAATGGTTACCTCACTGTTTAACCCAAGTTGGCAGGTTCAAACCTATTGAAGGCGTGCATTTTAAGGGCGAAAAACTTTGTTATACGTCTTCCTTTAGAGGGAAAGTAAAGCACGCTGTCCCATGTTATAGATTTACTTGCATATAAAAGATCCTCAAGATTAAATGAAGCTCTGATCTAAATTCAAATCACCTGTTTTGTTGCCCATGAAATACAGTCTTTCTCTGCTAGTTAATGAAAAGAACATAGTGAAATTTGTGTGGTCAGACGGAAGAGCTGGCCTGATGGCCCGAGTCTCGCCATATAAAGTGAGGCATCAATTCACTTCAATTCACTTCAATTCAGTTCAATTGTGGATGTTCTCTGTGCTAACTGATCACTTGGATATCTTTTGAAGACCGGTAGGAACGTAAACAAAATCAAAACATTGCATGTAAGTTTCAATCTTACAAAGGCATTTCGCATAAGTATGATTGAGACTTTAGTATGCATT